GTCTGCGTCAGCCTGCGTGGACTCACACGGCGATGCTGGACCGCAGTTTCTGGACGTCCTTGGACTTGCTGGTTTCCGCCTTACAAAGCTCCAGCAGCTTCACACAAAAGGGGTGGCTGCAAGGACAGCACAGGCAGGGGATGTGATGACCAGGTCACCTTCACTGGCTCTGGTGCTGCGCGACCAGTGCCCATCAGGCAGCAGCAAAAGCCTGGCCCAGCGGGTGCGGCGGCCCAGCCGCTGGGGACCTCACCGTCCAGAGACCCGCCCCACTGGCTGCTGCCCTCTCACGCCTGCAAGGGGGGCGGAGTCCCGCCTGCAGCGTCGTCTTCTCAGGCCTCAGGCTCCTTTCACATGACATTTCAGACGCAGCATCCAGACCACAAGTAATGAGACCCATGGGGAAACTAGAAACTGCGTGGGAACCCCATGAGGACTGCAGCCCAGAGCCACACACAAGACAGCGGGCGGGAGAGGGCAGGCCCGGCAGGAACTGCAGGGAAGCGTAAGGGACCCCTCCGAGCTGGAAACAAACCAGACGCGAGGAGACACCTGGAAACTACAAAACCCAAACACAGGTCCCGCACAAATACACGAGGCCGGGATGACCCGTCTCAGACACCAGCAGGTGTAGACAGACCCGAGCGATGGCGCAAAGGCAGGAACGGCTGTCGGTGCAGGGGTGCAGCAGGCACAGTAGGATCCCCGAGAATTGGGGGGGTGTGGGGGGGGGCTAGTGCCCCGAGGACAAAACCCCAAGAGGTGGACAGCTAAAAACTTCCTAGAACAAATGAAAACCAATGGAACCACAGAGCTGAGTTTAACAAATCCCTATTAAGACACATGCAGAAAACCTGACAGCCAGGAACATGAGAAGAGTAACTACAGGGAAGCCAAGGAGGAAGTCTTACGAGGGGCAGGAAACACCCAGCCTGCTTCCAAAGGCCCAGGTGTCTGGACCGGGGCGGGAAAGTCCAGCCCACGGGCCGTGTGCAGCCCAAGAAATCCTTCGGTCTGGCCCTGCCAAGGCATTAGGGGCGAGTTAATTAAGTGTTTGCCCAAATACAGAGGTCATGTTTACGTGGGTAATTCTGTGAGGCCCACCATGACGGTGCAAATATCCACGTGGCCCTCGGAGGAAAAAGGCTCCCCACCCCTGGAGACAGAGAGGTGACGCTGAGTTACAGGGGGCGTCGGAATAAAGGAAACACGTGTGTGTGTGTGTGTGTGTGTGTGTGTACACGCTAATCCCCACCTGAGTGTATTTTTTCCCACTGACTTTTTTTTGAGAGAAAGAGTGGGAGCAAGAAAGAGGG